GTTAATTATTGTGTTGATGAGATGACAAAAACAAAATGAAAAGTTACATATGAATTGCGGACCATAACCCTATATATATCCATAAGTATTTCGTCCATCATGAAATACAATTTTCAAGGAATATAGCATCTACGCATATAATTTAGCACACACTTTATTTAGATTCCCTAAGTCCAACAATTAAATTCTTTATTAGGTCACTTTAATTGAGCTCAATTTTAGGATAGCCCTATACATAATTAATTACACATGTATGCTCACATGATTAATTAATAAACCCAACAATCTCTCATTTGAGCCACATATGTTATCTGATAAATGTGTATAGTCTTATGATGTCAAAATTTTTGCTATCATAACCTTATTCAATCGAGGTACGTTGGGGTGTCTCATACAAAAACCTTAGGTTATAAATGAAACTCCACATACTTATTATTAAAATCATGTGAATGTTTCGAACATTTAATTACTTAATTTTATAACAGTAGGCCTATGAGAGACGACGACAATACTATTTTAAATGAGCATGATTGGCATTTAGTTTTTAAAATTAAAAAAAAATTTGACAAGTTTTTATAATTATACAAATATTTTGTTTGGTAATTATTATCCTACTAGTTGCATGGTCCTTGAACGTCTGTATATAATTGCCAGGGTTTTTCATAGATTTAAAGATGACCCATATTTTAGTTCAATTATATTTTCCATGGAATTAAAATTTAATGGAGTAAGTCGAAATATTCTTCGTGTTGATACAATTGAATATTTTCTTAATTCAAAGAAACTATTGATTGCGGATTTAAAAAAATATGGAGATGTGATATCTTTAACTTCAAATTTGTGGGGGATGGATTGATAAAAAGGGGTTACATAGCTGCAACTGTGTGTATAGACCCATTTTGGGTCTTCCATAAAAAAATTATTGCTTTTAAAATTATTGAGTTCCCGCACAATACTAACAATATATTTAATGCTATTATGAACATCATTAGAGAATATAAATGCGTTAGTAAAATTCGTTCTTTTACGTTCGACAACTCTAGTATAAATAAGTCTGTTATTGATAAATTGCATAGGATACTTTAACTCGATTTCGACAGTTTTTTATTTCATATTCAATGTGTTTGCCATTTTTTAATTTGATGATAGTACGAGAAAGTTTAAAACATGTTAAGGATGAAATTCAACGAATTAGGAATGCACTAGTCTATATCACGATTGCACCTAATAGAAAATAAGCATTTGACAAATTTTGTGGCAAAGCTGGGGTGTCGCATACAAAAACTTTGCTAGTGACGTAGGGCATAGATGGAACTCCACATACTTATTATTAAAATCATGTGAATGTTTAAAACATTTAATTACTGAATTTTATATTAGAATGCCTATGAGAGACGACGGCAATACTATTTTATATTAGCACGATTGGCATTTAGTTTTTAAAATTAAAAATTTTTTGACAAGTTTTTATGATTCTATAAATATTTTGTTTGATGTTTATTATCCTACTAGTTGTATGGTCCTTGAACGTCTGTATATAATTGTTAGGGCCCTTCATAGATTTAAAAATGATCCTGATTTTAGTTTAATTATATTTTTCATGGAATTAAAATTTAGAAAATATTGGGAAGACTTGTCAATGTTATTTCCGTTAGCATGCGTCATGGACCTCCGATATAATTTATTGAATATCAAATTTGTTATTGTTCAAATTTCAAATACTTTTAACTTTTAACGTACCTATTACTTTTATGAATTTGGAACAAACTTTATGTGAAATGTATGAAGTATATGCTTCACGAATGAATACACATATTACTCGTGTACCCTCCAACTATACAACCACCCCTCCTATTAATATAGGAGATGACGACGCTGAAGGTTTTAATTTATTCCATTGTATGAACTCATATAGATATGATTCAACTGCATATGCATGTGGTTCTTCTAGTAGTAGTTTGTCTTTCACTGCATATACTCAAACATCGAGTAATAGTCCAAATGCGTTGCCTCTTGAATTAATTGATTATTTTAATCATAAATGTTTTGAAAAATATATATTTCAAAAATGTTTAGAAAATGTGAGTCGAGCGCCCACGAGCGGCGAGCTCATCTAGATCGGCTCATCGTGGACGAGCCATGAGGTGCGAGCACGAGCTGAGCTCATGTGGGTAAGGGTCAAGCCGAGCCGTTGCCACCCCACCCCACCCCACCCCATCCCATCCCATCCCAAAACCCTCACTTCCACTATCGGATGGCTTAACTGCACCCACACAACGCCGGTGCACTACGATCTCTTCCACCGCTACCTTCATTTCCATCACCCAACAAATTTTTATTCTCCAAATCTTTAAGTTTTGTTATCGTTGAAGAGATCTTCAAGTGTCGGATACAACATTAAGGCCAACAGTGTGTGGCAGGCCCCACCCCCCTTGTGAGAGATTGTTATCCATTATTATAACCCAAAGTTGTACAAGGATAATCATTCGTATGAATAAAGAGACTGATAGTTATGGTGTAACTACTGGTTTTGGTGCCACTTCACATAGGAGGACCAAGCAAGGAAGTGCCCTTCAGAAGGAACTTATTAGGTATATAACGTTTTCTTTCTTAAAAATTAGTTTTTCCCGCAATTTATGCACTAAAAAAGTAATTTTTATCGACTGTTAAACACGATCAAAGTGAACATTTGAAAATTGGCTGTATACAGAATTTGTTAATCAATTTCTTGAAACAATTTTAATTTTCTATTTATCTGTATATGACAAACATAAATCTCATTTCTTTAGTTTAGGAAACGAGAAAAGGGAAAATGACAAGCTGGATGAAAAATGGAATCTGAGGTCCCAAATTCTAGAATTTCTTGCTTTTTGATTCTTTTATCCATTCCTTATCTTGATCTACACCTGATGAGATTGTCTTATCTTTAGGTATGAAAACCCAGATTTGGGGAATAAAAAATTGTTGGGTGATGGAAATGAAGGTGGTGGTGAAGACGATGGCAATGTCGCCGACATTGGGTGGGCACGGTTGAGCCGACTACTAGGGGTGGTGGTGGTGTTGATTGTTTGGGGGTAGGGGTGAGTATGTGTGGGTGAATGGAGAAGATGACGGTGGAAATAAGTTTGTAATTTTAATTATTTGATTTTAGTTATTTTATTATTAAAAAATATAAAGTTGCCATTACAACATTTTAAAATTAGTCAAAATTATTGTCAATGTCAATTATCTGGTCAACTAACGGACAAACTAACATAAATCATTCGTTTGGACCCTCATGTGCTAATTTTTGAAATGTTTGGTGCTGTGGGTGACACAAATGAAAAGTTTGGATAAAGTCTGCTACTAAATGAAATGTTTGATACCGCTGCTGCAATTATCCCTAAAATTTACTAAAAATTTAGTAAGTTCATAAATCTTGTGTTTTCACACATAAGTTCATTTTGAATAATTTTTCCCGAAAATTCAGCCAAAATTTTGAAAATTCTGTGACCAAACTGAAAATACTGTTGGGTCTTTAACTACACAGTGATTATCTGCGTATCGCCCCTTTGATTTCTAAAAAAAGTCAACGCCTTTAAGGTCCTAATGCAATGGACCCCACTTCCAATTAATTATAGCTCTTCGATTTACTCTATACCAGTAGTAGGGGTGGGCAAAAAATCGACCGACCCGACGAAACCGACCGAACTGACCCAAATCGACCGGTTTGGGTCGGTTTTTTGCATTTTTGGGCGGTTTTTGGGTTTCGGGTTGGGTGGTTGGGTCGGGTCGCGGGTTGGCACCCTAAACCCGACCCTGCCCAACCCAA